GTTTGGAAAATGTGGTTTTGATGGAATCGCTGCCACTGGAGCGTCTCATTAGTTTCTGTTTTCTTTTTGGCTTGTTGTGCGGCTGGTCAGATGGATGGCGAGTCTGAGGAGTCGGAGTCGGCCGGCACCGGGGAGGAGGAGGAGGACGGAGACGAGTCCGACCTGGTAACCAGCGGTGCATTCTGGCTTCGTGTTTGTAGCCCAGTGAACCAGGAGACAGCGCCATGCATTGTGTCCGCGCGCGGGGTGGAAGCAGGGCCTCGCGGACCAGGCAGATGCAGGCGGCACCGCAGACAGGCCAGGGCAGGGCCGGCAGGGGGTCCCCCAGACTCTGCTGCGTGGCTGTGAGGAAGGAAGGTGTGAGGTGTCAGGAAGAACCACCTGTCTGGGGGCTGGGTGTGGCAGGGGCGAGGGACGGAGCGAGGGGAAGTCTGTTGTTACCACTGGGCAGCCAAGCAGAGATGTCACGGAGGCAGGGCCCTGGGTGGGATGGGGGAGCTTGGAAATGGGGAGGGATGGAGCCTGGGCACCACGGCCAGACACGTGGGTCCTGAGACTGGGAGGGTCCTCCGAGCTTCAGGGAGGAAGCTCAGGGGACCTGGGGTCACGTGGACGGAGGAGCTCTTGGGAGGCAGCACGTGGCACGTGGTGTCAGCTGGTCTGGGGCGGATGAGAGGAGGGAGGACACGGACTGGGTGACGGTGTGACGTGCCGGGGACCTCTGGGGGCAGTGATGCCACAGTTCTTTCTGAAGCTTTGCCACCCAGGAGCGCCCAGAGGGCAGGGGCACGGGGTGGCGGGCTGTGGAGAGGGCCTCACTGGGCGGAGCACCGACACGGTCCCGCACCAGGGCGGTGGGCGGAAGGCCAGGCCCTGCACCTGGTGCGCCTTTGTGTCTCATGAACACGTTCTCTCCAGGTTCTGCCCACAGCAGGCAGGGAGCCTGAGGTCCTTGCGCTAACCAGCTGCAGGGCTGGCGGTCCCCCCTGTGCGTCTGTCTGTCATTCGTGGCAGGTGGATGCCCTTCTCCACTTAGGTTTTAAAACACTCAAACCAGTCGTGAAGGCTAGAAGCGCGCTGCCCCGCCCGCACTGCGCTCCAGGCGGATTCCGGAGCTCGGAGGCGCCTCTCAGAGCAGCACAGCGCACCGTGTGGGCTGGGTCTCAGCGCGTAGGCGCTCCCTGAGCCAAACTCAAGACTTATCCGTTCCATTCCAATGCTCTGAGCCCTTTTCAGGGCCTGTAAGATAACTGAGCCTAGAGTGATGTTGGGGGAAAGCCTGGGTCTGTAAGAATGGGATCCAGGAAAGAATGTCTGAAAGTGAAATTGATTTTCTAGTTGCAGAATCAGGACATAGCAGGTATTCTGTTCGCACGAAAACAGAACTGCAGCGCGTGGGCCGTCTGAGGTCCCCCCGCTCAGCTCCCTGTTCCTGCCCCTTTGGTTCAGAGCTCTGAGTCCAGCATCAAGAAGAAGTTCCTCAGGAGGAAAGGGAAGCCCGACAGTCCCTGGATCAAGCCGGCCAGGAAGAGGAGGCGGAGAAGCAAGAGGAAGCCGAGCAGCGCGCTGGGTGAGCCCTGCCCACCAGGAGCCCTGGGGGAGCGGGGGCCGGCGGGAGGCGGGGCTCTGGAGGACTTCCTCTGTTTAAGGAAGGGGAATGATGTTTGAAATTCCTTTGGTGCAGACACCCAGGTGACCGTAACCCTGTGGCACTCCCTGGCTTCCTTGGTGCCTGTGGAGCTGAAGGGATCATTCATCACCTGCCCTGTGTGGACAGGGAATTGGGGCCTGTGTGGACCTCCGGGTCCCGCGGGCAGTGCCTCGGCCCACATGGTGGCTTTCGGCCCCTTGCTCAGATTTCCCGACTTCAGAGGTCTTTTTGTGAAGGGACACAGGAAGGACATGGCCCTCAGACCCAGAAGGTCAGCAGGCCTGGGGGCGGGGCTACTGCAGCCACTTGGTTTCAGAGGACTCGGCATTGGGGACAGTGTACGTCACTCAGGTGCACAGCTGGCAGGTCCCCGCCCCTGCCAGCCTGCTGTCCCCAGTCACCCTGCCTCGCTCGTCCAGGCAGGTCACGCCGTGGGTCTTTGTGTGGATGATCGGGAGGTGCCTGTCTCTCAGGCAGCTGCTGTGTGCGTAGCTGTTGGGGAGGCAGCCCCGTTGCCGGGCGGGGCTGGGCGGCCGGAGGGAGACCAGGCCGGGGCTGTCCACGGTGTGCGGGTCCTTTGCCTGCGGGGAGTTGGGTCTTCCCAGTGGGGCTGTTTCCGAGGGAAGAGCTGTGCCCACTGTGTCCGTGTCTCTGGGAGCAGGTGCTCTCCGTGTCTCGGGTCCACGTTTAGCCTGGAGGGGCTGAGTCATGTGTGTCTGACTCGGTGGGAAACGTTTCCAAAGCGTTGTCCTTTCCCCCAGCGCGCAGGCCCCTGCTGGTGTCCTGGCCGCCCGCTCTGCTCCAGCCCCGCGGCCTCACCGTTTCCTCATCTGCGCTGGGCCCACGTTTACTTTCTGCGTCTTCTTTGGGAAAGTGTTTATTCTTTAGTTCGCGTGAGATCGATGTGTGCCTTCCCAGGGAGTTACGGTCTTTTGTAAAGTGTGTTCTGTGAATGTGTGCACCTCGTAAAAGTTTAAAGTGTGCTGAAGTCTAACTTATGACTTCATTCTTTCCAAATTCTGCTGTTTGTGACCTCAGAGGTCTTGTGCTAACTGTCAGGCACAAAGATTTTGTCCCATCTTTTCTTGAAGTTTCCATCTGAGCCCTATCGTGGGTCTCCGATGCGGCTGAGCTGGTGCCTGTGCTGGGAGGTGGGTCCAGTGCATGTGCCGTGTGCGGGCGGCGCCATGGCTGTGTGGACTTTCTCTTCTCACCTTCCCACCTGTGCTGACAGTGTTGGGCATTTCTGGACGGTCTTGTCTCTTCCTTCCGTCCGGCCGTCCGGCCATCCGTCTGTCTGCACCACAAGCTGCGGCACTCATCGTTTTCCTGGTTACTCAGCTGTCCTTCATTCCCCTGACGTAGAGGTAGCTTTGCCGAGTGGATATCGGGGAGGCAGATGCGGGCGCTGTGTGTGACTGTCACAGTGTGAGCCTGGACTTAGGTGTCGGGGCCTCCTTGAACCTCATGCTCCTTCCCGGACGGTTCCTCTCTCATCACGGCTTACCCCTCAGGCCAGCTGCCCGGCGTGGCTCTTCCTGCCGGCTGACACGCAGGTGCAGGCCCGAGAGGGAATGTACCTTTGGGGCAGAGGCGTCATCTTTGCCTTTTTGGTGTGACGTGCACAGCGCACGCCTGAGCACTCACCTAGGAGTTGGAACGCGTTCTCTCTGTGAGGCTTGAAATGGCACAGACCCTCCTGCGCTCAGGTGGACGGCGACTTCTCGCGGGCGCTGGCTCCCTGCCTGTCCCGGACCCAGGGCAGAAGGTGGCGGCACTCGGAGGCGTGATGCCTCCCCTCAGCAGGCGATGCCCTGTTTCCTGGCCACTGAAAGAAGAGCTGCGACGCTGACAGCTCGGTGCGTGGGGCGTCTGCCCTCGCTGGGCTCGGGGTTCTGTGTCCGAGCAGCTTTCCTTCCCCAGCTCCGCGGCGAGGGCCCCACAGTGGCGGCTCCAGGGCCTCCTCGTGCACAGACGCCTTCCCTGGGCCTGTCCCGAGGGCGACCCTCTCCTGAACCCGGGTCCAGCGGCAGATGCCCGAGTCCTGGTGCCAGGAGGCGGCAAGCGCGGGCTGCTCCTTGGCTGCTGCTCCGCGTCTGGTCTGACCTGAGGGTCGCGGAGCACACTCACCCTGTGCTCACCGTCCTCCGGGCTGGGCTCCGTCAGAGACAGAGGTTTGGACACATCCGAGCCTTGGTTTTTCTTGACACAGACCCTCCCACGCGTCGTGTGTGGACATGGGGGCTCACACAATGTGCAGGAAGGTGGGGAGTGCGGTGGCCTGGGCCACAGTGGCAGTGATGGCTGAGTGGAGCAGGTTGATTGGCACTGCGTCTGGGGGCGTGGCGTTCACAGTGGTGCCTTTGAACGCAGGTCCTGAAGCGTACACGTCGTCTTCGGGGAGCGCAGAGCCGGCGGCCCCGGGGGACAGTGCGGGGTACATGGAAGTGTCTCTGGACTCCCTGGATCTCCGTGTCAAGGGAACGCTGCCCTCGCCAGCAGGTGAGCGTCAGGCTGTGACTCGGCCGGCCCCGTCTTGCCTTCCTGTCCCTGGTTGGCGTTCCTGGCCTGTGGCCCCCACGGAACCGTGTGGCTCGCATTTCCCTGCCCTGAGGTGGCGGAGGCCGTGACTTGGTCCCTCTGTGGACTGCGCTTCACTGTGGGGGTTGTGTGTCAGCAGACGGAGCGAGAGCCGGCACACGTCCACTGGTGGGGACGCTCTCGCGTGTCTGACTCCAGGGCTGGCTAACGGTCCCGACGCGGGGGAGACGGATGGCCTCCAGGAAGTGCCCCTCTGCAGCTGCCGGATGGAGACCCCGAAAAGCCGAGAGATCACCACTCTGGCCAACAACCAGTGCATGGCCCTGGAGAGCGTGGACCACGAGGTGAGCGTTGACTTTCATTAGCTGAGCAGGGGCGTGGCAGTGCCCCGAGTGGGTCGGAGCGTGGCAGGTGCCCACGCTTATGGCACAGAGCCTGGCAGGCAGCAGAGGTGACATCCTGGAAACCCAGACCCGGGTGGAGAGCTCTTAGGGGGGCGATGCCAGTGGTGCCACGCCTGCCTGGGTGAGGCTCATGCTCCAGCAGAGGATCGACCTGCTGTAGGTGCCGACGTGGATGGGCCGGCGGCCGTCGAGCCTGCAGCGTCCCGTCACTCAGCCTGTCCACAGACCCACCTGCCCTCTCCCAGGACTTTCCTCCGTGACAGGCACTCACACGCCTGGCCCCACCTCACCCTAACCCGCCTCTGCCATCTGCAGCCTGACTCGTCGCCCTCGGCCCTCATCCTGGCTGTGAGCTGGCATTCCAGTGCAGACCCACATACCACTAAATATTTCAGGATGCGTCTCCCTAAAAAAAGGACATTTCTCATGTAACAGAAATAGTGACTTCCTGTTACATAATGCCCAGTTCAGAGTCAGATGTGTCTGAAAAACCGTCCTCTTACAGTTTTTCCCCAAAGTCCTCCTGTGGCATTTGCTGTGCGTGTCCTGTGTTTCTGCCTCTTTTCACCCAAACACTCTCACCGCCACTCCTCTCCTGTCCACGCTGCTGGACGACCTGGACCCACCCGGACGCTGGGGCTGAGGCTTCCCATCTGTCACATCGGGGCCTCATCCCGTGGCCCGAGCGCTCGAGGTTCAGGCGCCATGCTTCAGCTCTGTCCATTTCCTGCTGCCCAGAATGCTCTGGAGCGGGTCTGTGTGGCGGCCAGTGGCCCTGCCTTTAGTCCTCAGCCTTCCCGTGTCCTCGGGCACTGCTGTTCCTCCCGCAGTCCCGGCTGGGACTCTGGCACAGAGGACACCCCCCACGGCACACAGCATCACAGCTGCCGCTCGGTCTCTTCATTTTCCAAGCAAAGAGCTGGTGCCCAGCGACCTCTGCAGCCTGCCCGTTCCGGCTCCTTTGTGGACTGTGCTGACTGGCTGTTTCTCTGATGTCTGTGTTAGTTCGTGGAGTTTTAAAGGGGGGGTGGCTGGCCGTGGGGGTTCTGTTATTCGGGTGGTTTTACAGGAAGGCTTGTCTTCTCCTCCCGTGTCTCACACCATCTCGAGTGTTTCGTTCGTTTCCCAGTCCTTCGGGCAATGTGTTCCAGCCTCTTCTGAGGTTGACCAGTTCTCCCTTTCAAACATCATTGTGGACTGAATATATATAGATATGTATTTCTTAATTTTTTATGTTTTTATTGGTTTTAGAGAGAGATGAAGGGAGAGAGATAGAAACTGATAAGAGAAAAACATCGATCAGCTGCCTCCTGCACGCTCCCTCCTGGGGATCGAGCTCCCAACTCAGGCATGTGCCCTGATGGGAATCGAACCAGTGACCTCCTGGTTCATAGGCCGACGCTCAATCACTTAGCCACACCGGCCGGGCTACATGAATAGATTTGGGGTTTCATTTTTGTGTTTCATTCTTATTGGTGCTCAAACAGTCCCATCTTTGGCTCACATGCCCTCTCCACGTGGGACCTTTCCTGGGGTCATGACTGTTCTCACGATGCCGAGAGGTTCTGTGCCTTTCACTGCTTCTCTCAAAGGGCCCGGCGCATTTCCTAGGTGTGAAGGTCCGTGTGACTCTGGAATCAGTCGTTTCCATGGTGTTGCAGAACCATTAAGAGCGCAAGACACCCGTGGACTTCGCAGGAGCCACTCTGAAACTGGAAGATGGTGGAGATTTTCCAGTGCAACCAGTCCTTTTTTTTTTTTTTCTTTTTTAAATTAATCCTCACCTAGGATATTTTTCCATTGATTTTCAAAGAGAGTGGAAGAGGGAAGGAAAGACAAATATCGATGTGAGAGAAATACATCAATTGGTTGCCTCCTGCACACACCCTGACCAGGGGCCGGGGAGGAGCCTACAACCGAGGTATATGCCCTTGACCGGAATCAAGCCTGGGACCCTTTGGTCCACAGACCGACACTCTCTCCACTGAGCCAAACGGGCTAGGATACAACCAATCTTCTAAGAAATGACTATGTTCCTTTTTTCTTTTTTAATTAATTTTTTTTAACCACCAGTTTATTCAACACAACAATCCCTCCAGCTTTATTGAGGTGGTTGACCATGTCCATGACTAAATCTGCCTCTCAACTGGAAGTCAGGGTTTAATTCCCGGTCGTGGCACAGGCCCGGGTTGTGGGCTCGATCCCAGTGTGGGGCGTGCAGGAGGCAGCCGATCAGTGATTCTCTCTCATCATTGATGTTTCTATCTCTCCTCTGAAATCAATAAAATTATATTAAAATTTATTTTTTTGCTGTTTTGGAAATAAGTTTTTTATGTTAGCATATGATAGATATATTGCTATTTTAAAATAAATTATTACTTAAAAAATTTTAATTTCCAAGAACCAAGATCATGGTGTAAGTAAACACCTGTACTTACCACCTCTCACAACTACATCAAAATTACAACTAAAATACAGAACAATTATCATTCAGAACCACCTGAAAGCTGGCTGAATGCAAGTTCTACAACTAGAGAAATAAAGAAGAAAGCACATAGAGGCTGGTAGGAGGGATGAGGCATGGAAAGGGCTGGTCTGAAACCCACCTGTGTTGGTGGTTGTTTTTTTTTAATTGGGAGGGAGATAGTCTCTGAGCAGTTTTTCCATATGAATGGCCTGTCCTGGCTCAGGCTTCAGACTTTGCTAAAATCTCTCAAATAAGCTGTTTCTGGGTCAGCATGCCCCAAACCCATCAGTTAAAGGCTCAAGCCCCAGCACTAGCACCAGCCTGCCTTGCTTCACAGCTGGGCCTCATCTGGGCACCTCCAGGCCAAATACAAATAGGAGGAATCTGCAGATCTCTCTGTAGCTCCTGCCAAGTGGCCCCAGGCAGTGGCTGACTTTGCACCACCTGGGATGCCCTAGAGCCAGTGCATCAGCATGACAGCTTCAGACTATACCAGATCACAACTCTACACACCCACAAACCCACAAGGGGCAGACTCAGCACCAAAGCCCCACTGCTCCATGTGAAGCCAATCCTGCTCCAGAGGGGTGTCTCCTGCACAGCAGCTCTCCCATTGTAGTCGCAGCTGGTCCTCACAGCCAATTGGCCTGGAGGTCAACTCCTCCCAATGACTCCAATAGCAATCAAGGCTCAGCTAAGAGACTGTGCACAGCCCACACAGGCTGAGCCACTGGGCCTACAGGACACATACTACACAAGACCACTCTGCCACCTCCAGGACACATAGCATCTCTACGTGATACTTAGCAACAAACACGGGAGCAGCCAAAATGCAGAGGCAAACATGTCACAAATGAAAGAAATGGAAGCAAGCAAACGATGGGATACAGAGTTCAAAACCATGGTTACAAGATTACTCATGGATCTCAGTGAGACCTTCAAGGATCTCAGTGAGAATGTCCAAGATATGAAAAAGGACCAGTCAGAAATGAAGCACACACTGACTGAAATAAGTAATAATTTACAGGGATTCAACAGTAGAGTAGAGGATTCTGAGAATCAAATCAATGATTGGGAATATGAGGAAGCAAAAAATACCTAATTAGAAGAACAAAAGAAGAAAGATTAAAAAAATATGAAGATAGTGTAAGGAGCCTCTGGGACAACTGCAAGCAAACCAACATCCAAATTTTGGGGGTGCCAGAAGGAGGAGAGAGAGAGCAAGATACTGAAAACCTATATGAAGAAATAATGACAGAAAACTTCCCTGGTGAAAAATAAACTTACAAGTCCAGGAAGTGCAGAGTCCCAAACAAGAGGAACCCAAAAAGGCTCACACCAAGACACATAATTAAAATGCCAAGGGCTAAAGACAGAGAGTGTTAAAAGCAGCAAGAGAAAAGCAGTTAGTTACCTACAAAGGAGGGCCCTTACGACTGTCAGCTGACTTCTCAACAGAAACCAGGCCAGAAGGGAGTGGCAAGTAGTCAAAGTGAAGAATAAGGACCTACAACAAGATTACTCCACCCAGCAAAGCTCATTTAGAATTGAGGGTCAGATAAAGAGCTTCACAGACAAGAAAAAGCTAAAGGAGTTCCTCACCGCCAAACCAGTATTCATGAAATGCTGAAGGGCATTCTTCAAGAAGAAGAGGAAGAAGAAGAGATACAAAATATGAACAGTAACATGGCAATAGGTATCTATCAATAATTGAGTCTAAAAATCAAACAAGAAACCTAATGAACAAAATAAACTGGTGAATAAAATAGAATCAGAGGCATGGAAGCATGGAACAGACAGACTCACGAATCTCGGAAGGGGGGCGGGAGGAGATTCATTAAAGATCTTACCCATGGACACAGGATGGTGAAGCCTGGGGCAGGGCGGGAACTGGGTGGAGGGGCCGATGGGGGAAAAACGGGGACACCTGCAATATCTCAATAATAAAAGAGGTTTAAAAAGAAGAAACATTCTAATTTCCAATGTGGCAAATACCAGTAGCTATGCCCCCGTGGACAAAGCTCTTTGGCACCCTCAGTAACTTTAACCCTTTGAGTGCCAACCAATACCCTAGGAACTCTGCTAAAATGGCCAAGGCATTTTTGCTGATTTTACAGCAGTTTAGGAAAAAAATTATGAATCGCAAGTAAATGAAGTTACATATTCAAAAACTTAAGGAAACCTTTACTACGTTGACATATTTAGCAATATCATCATCACTAATAAAAGCAGACTTAGAACTGGACGCCATTTCGAAGCTTTGATAGCGCTCCCGGCACTCTAGGGGTTAAGAATGTAAAAGCTCCCTGAAACCAAAGTTTTCTTGGGGGGGTGCTGTCCACTTGCTCCGACTGTTTTATGTGGGACCCAGGAAATCCTGGGGCTGCAGCTCTTCCCTCAAACGGTGTTTGTCTTGACGCTCAGCTGTCTCGTCCTCGGGTGTCAGCAGCCTTTTGTGAACAAGCGCCTTGGTCTTTCCGCTGCCCCGTCGTTTGCTTTAACGAGGCCAGACCCACACGCAGGCCGTCACCTGTGCGTCGTCCTCGGCCTGACGGGTGCATGCAACCGAGGAACCCCACCCGGCCAGGGGCCTGCTGCTTGGGCCTCTGGTGGGTCTCGGGTTCCGCCCGGCGTGCTGGTCCTGCTGGTGCCGGCTCTGCAGCCCAGGCCCGCGTCTCTCCTCCCGGCCTGTGGTCTTGTGAACAGCCTCCCAACGTCTCTGCGCTGTGACACCGCGCGTTGGGTCACCAGTAAAACGCCGGCTCTGCCCTCACGTTTGCTGCGACTCTGCATAGCACGTGGGGTTAGTCCTCTATGCGATGTGGGGTCCCTGTTTCATGGTCGGTGTGGGCTTCCCCATTTACTGTGATCAGGGATGGGGTCGGATCACAGCTAATACTTTGCTGGAGTTAGGACGAGGCCATCTGCTACTCTTTTTCTTCATGGTGAGCCTTTTGCTTTGGAATGTCTTGTGATTGTAATTTATTCCATGGTTGGCTTTATTATTTGGGTCTTTTTCTAACGTTTTTAGTGGTTGCCCTGAGATTTCCCTTCAGTTGGTGCTGTACCACTTCACGTACCATCTTATGTGGCTGAGCGCTCCCTCCTGTCTTGTCCACGTTTTAGTTTCCTGTGGCTGGAGTCCCGCCGCACACGCCTGCCGTTGCTTTAACTCGCCCTCTGGCTTTCAGACGGACGGACACGCAGGCTCTGTCACCGGCAGCTTCGGCCTCGCGCAGGTCCCGCTCCCTCGGGTCATCCCCTCGTGTCCGAAGCCCCTGCGTCTGTGTTTATTTTTTCCTGCTCATCGTGGAGTCCCCCTTTGGCGTGTGTGAAAGGTCCGTGTTTTGCCTTCATTTCTGGCAGGTGTTCTCGTGGAGAGCAGTCAGCACCTGCGGCGTTGGCCGGGTGACTCCCGGGGCTCCTGGCGACACGCGGAGCTGTCTGGCCTGGTTCCTGTGCGTGTGGGAGGCCCTGGCCGCCCCCAGGGTCCCCGTCTTTGGCCGAGGGGTGGTGGTGCTGCTCTTCTGTTTTTCTCGCGGTGTTGATCCTCGTGAGAGTTCTGTGAGCTGCTTATTCCTAGAAAATTCTTGCCTGTAGCAGTTTACTTTTCAGCCTGTCCTCTCTCCGGCTCTGGGCTCGGGTGCCCGTGTTGGGGTGCGACTTGTCTCACAGCTGCCAGCTGCCCCTCTTCTTTCCTTTGTGTCTGAGGTTTAGCTGATTTCTCTTCCCCGTTTCAGACTCGGTGGCGTCTCCCTCCTTGTGGAGGGTGCGTGTGAGCACGTTTTATTCTGGTGTTTCCCTTTGCATTCCTCCCGCCTCGGCCGATGGTGAGATACCTGGGCCGTCCAAGTCTTTTTCTGTCGACTCCTGCATCTGCTGACGGCGGGTCCAAACCCACACTCCCTCCGAGCCGAGCTCCTGAGCCCGGTCCTGCTTCGCTGTGTTTCTCTTACCCGAGGGACTCAGGTTGGCTGTCTCTCCTGCGTTCATGCTTTCCCTTCCCTTCCCCTTCCCCTTCCCCTCTCCCCTTTCCTTTCCTTTCCCCTTCCCCTTCCTTTTTCTTTCCTTCCCTTTCCCTTTCCTTTTCTTCCCCTTCCCCTTCCCCTTCCCTTCCCTTCCCTTCCCTTCCCTTCCCTTTCCTTTCATTTCCTTTCCCCTCACCCGAGGATATATTTTCCATTGATTTTTAGAGAGGGAGGGAGGAAGGGAGGGAGGAAAGTGGGGGGCAGAGAGAGCGAGCAAGAGAAACTTCGCTGGTAGAGAGACACGTGGGTGGGTTGCCTCATCACATGCACCCTGACCAGGACCAGGATGAGCCTGCAACCCAGGTACGTGCTCTTGGCCAGAATCGAATCCAGGCCTTGGGTCCGGGGCTGACGCTCTAAGCACTGAGCAGCACCGTCCAGGGCTGACGTGTTCCCTGTGGGACACCGAGACCATCTCCTTCTGGTTTGCTGGTGTGGCCCCTGCTTTGTCTTCTCTGCAGGTCCTCAGCCTGCCTTCATCCTGGTGGTGGGGTCCGGGATGCTGGGGGCGCCTTGGCTGTGGGGCCATGGCGGGTCGTCTCGGGACAGGGACATGCCTGTCCCTCCGTCTGGAGCTTTGCTTCCTCTTGTACATTTTTGACTTGTTGCTCGACTGTCAGAACTGCCTTCTACCCGGAGCACTTCCGTGGAAATCCTCGCCTCCCACCGGCCTTCCAGTTCAGGGGCTCGTGTTTGTTCCCGCTTCGGAGCCGCTGGGTCTGCTCTCCAGGGCTGGTGCCTGTTCCCCCCGCTCTGCCCGTCTCTGTGCTCCTCTCACCGGGTGTGCCCTGCTCTGCCCGCCTCAGCGTCCCTGGGCAGCCAGCCCTCGGGGGGCCATCGGGTGTGAGGCCCGTGACTCACTGGCTCCCTTTATCCGGATGTGCTTGGTGGGGAGGAAGGGGGGCTGGGTCAGCTGATCAGTCTCTGGGCAGGAAGTGAGGTCCTGGTCAGGCCTCAGGTGGCTGCTGCTGGTAGGCACCTGGGCTGCACCCCCACCTGTCTGGGCTGCGTCCCAGGCCCGTCGTCCGTAGCTAACTGGTCACCCATCGTCTGCAGCCTGGGTGTGGCCTTTGCTCTGGTGTCCCGACCGCGTGCAGGGTTCAGGGACTCTCTCTGCTCCTGCTGCTGGCCCCTAACCTCGTGCTCCAGCCGGCCTGCCTGGTGCGCGTCTATTTTTTTTACTCAGCCTAGACCCCAACTTGCTCAGGATGTTCTGTTCGATTTTGCCGAGTTAACCAGCGGCTGCTCTGACACTGCGTGGCTACCCGTCACACGGTTGTCCTCTCTGGGGCACGTGTGTTCTCGACCCCACGCCGGCGCTCGAGGTCCACCCTGGACTCGCCTCCGCCGAGCCGCCTGGTGGCTCGGTCGCTGACCTGTGTTGTCTGATTGCAGCTGGGCAGGTGCACCAACAGCGTGGTCAAGCACGAGCTGATGCGCCCGTCCAGCAAGGCGCCGCTCCTGGTGCTGTGTGAAGACCACCGGGGCCGGATGGTGAAGCACCAGTGCTGCCCCGGCTGCGGCTACTTCTGCAC